TTTCTCGAACAAATGATAAAAGGGAATCAAGGGCATTCACAGCAGTTTGAAGAACTATTTTTGGGTCTTGTAAAATATGGCTTGCTATATAAGTTAGATGAGTTTATTTATAACTGTTTTTATCAAAATGTATAACCATATAAAATTACTAATATTATTATAGGATTTATCCTACTCTACTACTTCATAATAAAAAATTTTAAATTTATATTTGTTACTCACGACTTTTATAAATTTATAATACATAAATATATTATTAGTTATTAATAATAACATGTATTTATAAATTTATGACAATATTATCAATGATTGAACATTTTTATTTAAGTTGTGATTTAAATTTATTTCGCGAATAGTGTATTGTGTTTTGTACTTGAATGCAAAAAAATCCCATTAAGTGGAGGCCCGGGCTTCCAAAATCTAGTCCTGGAAATTACTGATGATATTAGGTACTGTTATTCTATCTACATTTCCGTATTATTTTAGGCAATGATGTAAATTGATACGGCTGACCAAATGGATTATAGATAATCTCAACTCAGTTTTATGTTATCGACTTCTCCTCGATATTTATTTTTATTGCTCATGAACTCTGTATATCGTATCGTATTGTATCGTAACAGTCTATGAAAACAGTGGTGTTTGTGCAGTGTTTAAGATAATTGTTTATTTAATATTTTTTAAAATGGATTTAAATTAAATGTGATTAAAATTTGATAGCAAAATTTCATTATTAATTGGAAAAAAAAACATAATGACAAAAAAATGATTTTTTCAATCATAACGAATATTGTGAACGAATTGAAGAAATAAAATAATCCAAAATAACGTTATACAAGTGTATGCCCGGAAAAAAGAAGTATACAAAAGATTATAGGAACATGCTTAAGTATGACGTTATTTTTATCAATCAACAGCTATTTTAACAGAATTTTTGAACTACAAGGTTTTATGAGATGCAACTGTAAAATACAATGTGAAATTAATTGATGTGCTTGTTGTACCTCTACAAAATTATGTAACTCTAAATGCCAGAGTAGTTTATCCTGCTGTAATAAATAATAATTAATTTATTAAATATTAATATTATTGCAATATTTAGCATCATTGCCTTCTTTTTTTAGGAACTAACGTCAATTATTAGTCATTTATGACGATTCCTTAATAAATCGAGCGTTTTCGTTGCTAAATAGTCATTGTAGACATTAACTGATTATCATCTTTTCCGGTAACATATATACTGATAAAAGCATTCTATTCCATGAATGTGCAATTTTAGTTATACAAAACAAAATTTTTAGTTATTATAAATGCCAAAAGAAATTTAAGATGTATTAATGGAGTGGTCAAATAAAAAGGAGAAATCAACAAGAATTATTGCTGCTAAATTTAAAATAAGGAGTAATTGCAGTAGAATAATTCATGAAAAAGTTAGTATGATTTGTATGAAATATTAATTATTCATTTTTAAAGTATTCTCATCAGCTAGTATGATGTTTGTATTCATTTTTGTTATATAGGTTCTTTCTTGAAAAGTATGATACTCAAATAAAATTGCCATCCTATACAGAGAAACTTTGAAAAAAACAAAAAAAGCTATTAATGTATATTTAATCGCAGGAAACTGTAAATAATCGTATAATCGATATTACACAATAACATGGATTCATGGATATTTACTTATTTATGCAAATAAAATCACATAAGTGATAATAAGATGCCAGGTATTATACTCTTTCTTTAGCCTCTTAAAGCATATAACTACGTATCATATTTGAGTATATTTGTTGTGACGCATAAGGAAATCAGGTTTAAAAAAAAATCTTAAAAATTGAAATATTAAAATAACAAAGAATGACTAACACACATATAATGAAATAATACCTGTAGGAGACGCTAACAAAAAACCAATTGTTTAATATTGTTATGCTGACCAAATTTAGTAAACAATAATAAAATAAATGATGTCAATTGGCATCATTCGGAATGTGAAAACAATGTTAATTGCTGCCATTTGGCATCATCCAGTATTGTTAAACATGATTTAGTGACTCATTAAATTTTATTGAACCATTAAATTAATCAATTTTTTATACAATTTGGCATTAGTATTACAGTTATTATATATTTACCTATCATACTTTAGTAAATATACTTTTAAATTAATTTACTAATCTTTTTCACTGAAAAGCAATAACAAGAGATGCCTAATTGCCAACAAAAGAATGTTGTAATTTAAAAGCGGATTATTTTTATTTAAAGAATTTTTTTTTGAAACCATGAGTTTTTTATGAGTTTTTTTCATATGCAGTTAAAATGCTCACAAAATCTCAAAAATCTTATATGAGATATGCAATGATTTCGTAGTTTAAAATTCATGAGACTTTTAATTTTAACACTAACTTGGAAATTTAATATGAGATTCCTTTTAGTTTTTTTTTCAGTTTTTTCGAGAAAAAAATACAGTGTTATAGAAGATTTTAGTAATAGTTTATATTATGAAATAATTTCTTACTTAAACTTATTAATTGAAATTTAAGCTGCATACGTTTCTTTTATTAAGTATTTAGAAAATATTAAAACATTTTTTGGAAGAATACAGAGACTTAAAAGTAAATTATTTGATTTTGATTATATCTATAATTTTGATTACATGCACACGTTTAATGAGGTCTTTTTGAAGAATAAATTTAAATTGAATAAATAATAAAATATCAAAAAAAGTCTATTAAAGAAAGTAAGTGATGTGATGTAAACATATTAATAAACTTTACCACTCTAGAACAGGAATTAGAAAAATATAGGTAAAAATTTAACAATTAATCATATGCAAAAAATTAATTAACACAAAGGTTGAATAAAATAATGACCCGTTGGTAAACAGAATTATACAAGTAATAGAAAATTCAGAAATTTCTGATCATATTATGAAAGAAAAACAAAAATTATTTTCCTTTGAAATCAAGAAATATGTATGTAAATACATAAGTACGGAAATAATGAAAAAAATGATTATATTTTGAAAAGTGATTTATGAAAAATGTATTAATAATATTATATTAATTTAAGCCTGACATAGACTATACCTTGATGTAGCCCAGGTTTTTAACAAAGTCTAGTATGAAAGATTCATTATAAAACTCCGTGATCAACTGCTATATATTTGATGTGCACTTCTTGAATCATACTTGACCAATTGTTGATTTCAATTTATACACAAAGAATCTATAATTGAATGGAAAGATATATCAGCTGGAGTACCGAAAGCCGAAAGGTAGTGTGTTTTAGAACCTATCCTGTGCCTACTCTATACGGCTGATATACCATAGGATGATAACACAACATTAGTTATGTTTGTAAATGATACGGAAATTTTTTTAACACATAAGAGCCAGCTTATTGCAACTGATGACTTTTAGAAGCCAGTTGATAACATCTTTACATAGATGAGACATTAGAAAATTAAGATCAATGGGGATAAATCGGTTCACGCTAATTATACGTGTTACCAAAAACCGAAAAAATCCAAATACTCATAATACAGAATCAATCACCAATCCTATACAAAGATTCAGTTAAACATCTTAAAATGCACCTTGATTCTCATAGTCTCATCTAAACTAGAAATACCACATTTGTCAAAAAAAAATTTAGATTAAAAAAAAATATGAAAACTTTATTGGTTAGTCGGACCTTACTCCGAATTAACCATCGAAAACAAAGTCTGCTGTATGTAGCTATTATGAAACCGATCTGACTTTACGGAATTCAACTGTGGGATTGTGGCAGCAAGTTTAACATCAATGTAATATAACGTTGTTAACGCTGTCAAGACATTTGCCTTCGAATCATCACTGTAACCTACCGGTTCGAAAAAAATTATGTAATTCATTGTGATATGATGCTGTCTACAATAACAGACGTAATCCAAAAGTTTGCTTGCAAATACGAGACAAGGTTAGATCACCACTTAGTCCACTAATCTTCCAATTATTAGATAACTTCAAGAACATCGACATCAGAGTCTTAAGTATCTGAAATTATATGATTTAGATTAAGATTTTAGATTAAGACAGGAGTCATTCCATTGGAAGTAACTATTAATGTGTAAGGTATGTATAATTTATATCTAGTGTAAAAAATAATATATAACTGTTAAGCATATTTATAATGATCTTTAGGTCATTTAAATAATAAATCCCCAAGGTATTAAAAACAATTGACCTGAATTTCCTAATGAACACGACAGTACGCTAGTGGGTGTAGGTAGCAATGTAGTATGCAAACACTAAGCTGTGAAACTTCGGTACATAAAATAATTTTATTTTTGTGGTTTAATCGATATTGTAAAATTAACGAGAATAAGAGAATTTTGTTTTTTTTTGCTCTTTTTCTTTCAAAAGTAATTTTATTTCTGTCAAATAATTGTATAATATTGGAATAATATAATCATAATAATCATTTACCCAATATAAAACTAACTTTATCAATCATCCGGCGTTTAGGTTATGCAAATTAGGTACATCGCTGTTGGGAATACATTTTTCGAAAATCTTGTAATAAATTAGTTTTTACTTTGCTACGTGTGGAATACAATATACATAGTAATAAATAATAATAAAAACTTAAAATTAAGACTGGCTCTTAAATATAATATGTTGTCCGGTTTGACTATATTTGAATCTCAGTATGATCTACCGTTTTTTGTACAGTTTCTTATTGCAGAAGACTTTTTTTATGTGATTTATATGTATATAATAATATTGTGATGTTTATAACAATTATAACAATAACAACACTGGTAATAAATGATGGATTGTGATGATAGTATTTTAATACTCATTACTATAATTATTATTTTTATTAAATTAAATTGGTCAATCAAATTTACAAATGACATATTATTATAATAATATTATATGATAATAGTACACTTAAAATAATGTTTTGTCACACAATCAAAGGTTTTTTATTTTAAAAGAAAATAATATTATATAACGTATAATGTTGTATATTAAATTATATAATAAGGCTAATATTGGATGTATGACATCGCGTAAAAATATACTTCTGAATCAAGTCTGAAGATCTGCAGTAAACTTTTTTGGACAATTTTGCGTGGATATTTGCAGTAGTTCGGCTTGTAAATGGATTTGCCGATTATCAGCGATCAGCAGCTGTTGACTCGATAATTCTGAAATAAACGTTAACGCTATATAGAGCGCGTATTTTAATTTATATATTTTAAGAGGATTCGGAAGTACTTTTATTTTTCCACCGTAATATTAGTGATACTATAAGAGATTTAAAAATCGAAAATAAATTTAAATCGGTCATGAAGTTTACTTTAAGTCAATTATCCTACTTTTTAAATTTAAAAAAATTAAGAACTTTTGAGCGTTGGTAATAAAATAGAATTGAAAAATAATTTTTTTATGAAAATGTTGATGACCGACTTGTTAGGTGATTTTTTTAAAGAATTTAAATGTTTTTTAGATCTCTTATTTTAGTTTATTCTATATATTAAATAATGATATTACAATAGTATCTACATGGTTTTTAATGAAATATTAAAATATTGTTATATTATATTACATACTTATAAATAATAGTTGACTACATATTGGCGGCATGCAATTATTATTTCTTATACATTTAACTCGCTTAAGTTAATCAGACTAATGATTTCTTACTAAACACGTCTTTAAAAAATTGCTTAAATTGATCTCCTTATTAAACGCTAAATAAATCGAATCCCTCATTTAGGGGATTGCTCGTGTAAAATAATGTTATATTTAATAAGGGGTAACATTCAGGCTATTTGTATTTTCGTCATCTTAAGATCTGTATGATTTTAAATGATTACCAGTGTTAGTGTGATACACACACGCTGCAGGTGTGCTGTGTGCATATGTCAACGGTACGCCCAGAAAAAATATGTATGCTTATTTACTCAAAACACGTTTCAAAAAACTCTTACATCTCGCATAAAGTAGGGGTCTGATTTAAATAATTTTTTTTATAAATAGGAAGGCTTTTTATAGAGCGCATTTGACTTTGGTTCTTGATTTAGTTACTAAAACTAAAATTATATAAAAAATAAAAACTTGTGAAAGTTGGACGCATTATATCTTTTACCCTAAATGGATTTAAAGTAGAGTTGAAAATCAAAGTTCAATTCACTCTGTAAAAAGTCTTCTTCTTATCAAAAAAATAAATAAAAAGTTTTTATCAAAATCGAATTACATTACGAGACATCATAGTTTTTTTTACAAGATATTTTTTTAAGCAAAGCAAAAAAAAGTCACACCCATATGTGTTGTCAGATGTCACACCATCTTATAAAAGTACCCACAAACTTACAACACAGACAATTTTTATTCGACAGAATACATTTTGTGTCATTAGCTTTAATATTGTAGTGAATTAACTTATTATTAAGTTTATAGGTAAAATCATTATTGGTTGTGTTTTTTATACGTTGGGTTTTCTTACAATATTTAAATTTTTGAGTAAATTATAATGAATATGTAAACTGCTGAAATTTAAAAGTGATCATAACATAAAATATTGTAATATAGTGAAAGGCTGATGTAAAAACACGGATTATGTTCTTATCTTAAGTTCTATAATAGATCAATTCATTATATTATTAAGGAAATGACACAACATTGGTTAATATTTGTTGAAAATTTTAAGACAGGAGACAACAAAATCGATTGTGACGTTCCCATAATATAATGTTATAAGTAACATGTAGTGGAGTGCAGGTCATATTAACAAGATGATCTGGCAATTTAATTATGAACATAATATGTATAAGATCCTCGAGACATATCGTCTATGTTGTTATTAAATTTTATTTTTCGTATATTTAATACTCATGCGTGGTTTTATAAATATTATAATTTATAACCAAATAAAACATTTTTAAATAAATTTCTAAGAACAACTGTTTATTATAATAATATAGGCACATTTTTTTTTGTGACATTGTAAAATTAATAGTATAGGTATTGTATAGGGAGTAAGAAATTGGTATAAACGATAATAAAAAAAACTATGACTATTATTAATATAATAATTAAAGTATAGAAGTGTTACATTAAAAAATCTAGACTACTTACATTGTATTGTAAATAACTGCTATATATTAAATAAGTGTAGGTTAATTTTAACTGTAATCAATTAAAAACGATAAAAAAAAAATTCAAATCCTAGTAGATTTCGTGTACTATACATTTACGCGATAATAATATAAATTTTTGTGCAAGACCTAAACTAATATGTGTTTCTTTTTATTTAGTGACCATCAATCTAATTTGTACAAACGTGTGCGTAAAAAATCACGAAAAAATAAAAAATAGATTTAGGTAAAATACATACTAAGCAATCTATTGTATTGATTACACGTAGACTAAGTTAGGTACTAGAATTTTGTTAAAACAATACACTTACACGTGAAATCAAAGTTTTCGCATGCATAATTTTCCGTGTAAAATAATAATAAATCACCTTCATTTATTTATCACGATCAATTGTTCGTAATCCTATCATAGCGCAATGCAAGTAAATATTGGGTACATAGTATCTCCTGAATTTATGTCATTTATATAAAATATACTCGACAAAGTGGGTTAAAATCGAAATATTTTCAGAATAATAATATACCCTGTGTACAGATAGTAGTGTTCTTAGTTTTGCCATTATTAGTCGACACATGTCAGTATCTGCTGATATACCAGAAGTCTATAAGTGTTGGTACGTACGTTAATATCTAATCATAACCATCGATTTAATTGGCAATATATTTTAACATTAGTTGGTATCTTTAATATCTATACAGTGATGAATTAACGAACATCAGTTCGCATCATCTTTCGATTTTGGCCTAAAATGACAAATATAGTAACGATTTTTAGAAGAAAATCATACGAAATAATATTATTTCTGCATAGCACATGCAAACTTTGCAAAGATCACTGTAAACATTTTTTGTTAAAACAAAAATTGTTTTTTTTTTTTTTTATAAATAATAGTTTAAAACTAACTTATGTGTTTGAAATGAAAAAAATATTTCATAATTTTAATTTTTAGTTCAATTGACCGATTTCATTAATCCTAATTACCTAAATATCTTGTAATATGTAACATAAACTGTGCATTATTAATATCATATACGGACAAATTATATTTATTATCTCATGAATTAGTTTGTATTTATATTACATAAGGATGAAAAATAACGGTCAAGTAAAAAATAATACTGTTTATATGGTTTGAAAAAAAATTAAAATTTATTTATGTATATCCCAAGAGAGCCGTTTCACGCAAGATATTTCAAAAGATATTATTTTTCATGGTTTTAAGTCGTTAAAAAAACAACATAGTTCTGAGAAAGTATATTTATTACTATTTGAGGTTTTGATAAGCGGTGTAGTGTTACCCCACAGCATTTTGATCTATTACCTAGATGAGCTATATGTTCAAAACTTAATTTTTATAAATCTTAAGCTCTGAATAGTTTATTTGATATATTTATATTATCATGCTTTCAAATATGAAATCAAAAATATGTATTTTATCATTTAAACAGTAAAATACTTAAATAAATATAGTTTATTTTCTTCGAAAATGTTGTTTTGTAAATATTTATGTAAAATGACTATACTCAAAAACGTTGGATAATGTTGACTGAAATATAACAACGAATGTCTTACGTTAAATGGTTTACTCTGTTTATCGATAGCGATAGATGAAAGGAATAAAAATACCTATCATAAAAACGTGTGCAGTCACCAAGGTACACAATAAACGTTACCTCCCTCTATGCGCAATTGCACAATAATAACGTATTATTACTGCGATAACGCGTATGAATGCGAACAGTTTTCTGTTCATTGATCGTGATATTTATTTAAAGCAAATTCAAATAACCTTTATGCGTATTAAGGTTAAAATGCATATTCAGCATGCATTTGAAGTATTTAAAAACAAATAATATAATCATGATGATATCTCGATGGTTGCTATAGATCGGTTGCCGAATTTCGGGTAATGAACTATACATTTGTTTTATTTTTATTTATACGAATTATAATATGAACATGTATTAAAAATCATTATATAACTACACTTATATTAAATATACATGTGTAGTACACACGCCTGGGCAAGTTTATGATAATTTTTAACTGAGTTAAGTTAAATTGATAGAATATATTTTGAAAAGTTAAAAGTTAATAGTTAATCTAATTTTTTTTTAACTCAATTAAGTTATAAGTTATATGGACATTTTCAATTAACTTAAGTTATTATTATTATTTTTTTTTTTAATATATAAAATAGCCAGTAAAATAGTTTGAAATTATAAAATTCATAAACATTGTTAGGCCCAAAAAAATAGATTTACTATACATAAAATAACTAAATTTGGAAAATTAAATTACAGGTGGAAAGAATTAAGTAGTAGGTACTAAAAGATAAATAAAATAAAATATAATTTTTTAATTTACTAAAACAAATTTTATACATTTTTAAACAAGTAAATGATATCAAAATGGAATTTTTTTTTTTAAATGTACTTAATTTGGGTATGATTAAAAGTAACTCGTTTTTTATTAAGCTAATACCAATAAAAATCAGTTAAGTTAAAAATTAAGTTATTGAAAATTAATTTAAAAAAAAATTAAGTTAAAAAATTAAAATTAACTTAACTTTAACTTTTTAACTCGTTTATGCCCAGGCTTGGTAGTACATAACACCGTCAGTATTGAATGGTGATCGTAAAACCAATACTATACTTATTATCCTAACATAAATATTATTGAAATAACAATGCTGGTTTTTGCAAAAATCCTTATTTTATTATGGTGTTTTTTTTTTTACTTTACAACATTTTACTGTACAATACTAATAATAGTAATGTGTTTTAAAATATTATTATCCGTTGAAAAAAATATTTGTCACGATTTCAACAGAGGTATCTATAAATAACGACAATTGAATACAAACAAGATTTATTTTTATCTAAAACTTATACGATAATAATTTTATTTTTTCCTTTATTTGATTTACTGATGTACATGATCTGAGTATACAATATATACGGCCGTAGTCAGTAAGTAATATTTACAAAAAACGATTTAACTTTAAAAAAATTTGATTTGAAGAAGTCACTTACATAATATGATGTTCCTATAATAGGGTTTTAAATAAAAAGGATTGCGTTGGAAGTAGATCACGACATCAGCTTCTGTTCAATCTTTGGCTTGGAGAATTATCAGGAATTACAGATTGAGACATAAGATATACTTTTTTCAAAGATGTTTTGGAGTTAAGAGTTAATGATGGGAAATTTATAACAGTGCATAAAATTATAATAATTTACTATAATAAGTATTTAAATAATAATTTTTACCATCATGCATTTCGTGCATAAAACATATATTTTGTCCTACTTGAAATTATATAAATATAAGATGAAAAAACACAATTAATATCGGAAAATGATTAAATAATATTTTATACCCTATGATTTTTTTTAACAGTCAATACTCGCCGTTATTTTGAAAAGAATAGTCGTTTTTGAAAATGTTTTTATTACATAAATAAAATTTATTACAGGAAAACATTTTTGAAAAAAATAACAACATGATAATAATTATAATATTTAAAATTTCTTATTCCAAATAAATATGTAGGTATATCTGAGAAATTTTATCTATTAAAATTTAATTTTTAACGATTAGTTAATAAGTAATATATAAGTATTTACAGTTTTGATGAACGGTGAACGGAGTGGCTCAGGTGTATCTCGCAAAATGTATTTATCCATTACTTCGTTCTTTAAAAACTTTAAATACTTATAACTATAATTAACTATACGTTTAAGATTTAATTTTTATACTTCAAAATTCTAAGAAAAATACTGGATTTCGTAATACGATATTTAAGATTTATATTGTCATTCGAAAAAGTAAAAACTTAAAAAACGACGACAAAGCAAAATACGTAGTAAGAAGGTTTTTCCTAAGATGTTATGTTGACTTGTAATTAGGTTATTCTAATTATGAACAAAAAACTTATAAATAACGAGTATTCACAGTAAAAATTGAGTCGCTTTGTATAACGTTCAGTTTTAAAATAAAATCTCTTTGTACATCTGTAGACTGTAGTAACAGTGTTATGTATAATTCGTTTGCGCACATATAATTTTGCTTTATGAAAAAATTTGTAATACTACTATAATGCATTGTGTGCAGACTTTTGAGGTGGCGTAGAAATCGCTTAAATTTATATTATTATTCTAGTGATTAGTATATATTATAGTAATAATGTTACTTATTGAGTGATTATAAAAAAAATAATACTTTAAAAGTCCAGTTTTCGTCAAAAATAACTTAAAATTTAATATTTTAAATGTCCGTAGACGAGTTGCACCGATTTATGTATAACCTGTGGGTGTCACAGTGCCCTGTTCGGGTGGCGGCGATGATCCTTGTTTCCAGTTCGCGTGCAACAGGTCTGCAGACTTTAGATTGGGAGTATCAAAATCCGGAAATTGGACATGTTTCCTGGAACCCCTGCGCGAACCTGAGGACGCCCCACCAGTTGAAGCCATCACCACCGAACTGGCTGTAGCGGTTACCGTAGTCTTCGTGGGACTCTGTGTTGGTGATGCCGGCAGGGTTGCAGGTCGCCTTGAACTTAGGCAACTGGTGCCTGTTGGCTGGCACGTGTACCTTACTGGCGATATCTATATATACGTACATATTAAATTTATTATCCTGGGGTTAACAACTTTATTTATACAAGCAAAGTTAAGATTGTAGGTAATATTTTCTAGGTATACAATAATAACTCTATACTATATAACTTTAAACAAAAAACACTCGAAATTACGGCGTAAGTGAGTTGATTTCCGAGACCTAATTTATGTACGAGTTGATTCCCTATTGTTGTTTATCAATATAAAATGCAGGAACAATGGGACTAGGAAATCTAAGGAAAAACAATTTTTTTTTTTAAGAGAAGTGATGTCGTGGTATACTGGTAATCAGTGGCGGATCTAAGATTTTTTTATGGTGGGTGCTATAATAATAGTCTTTTAGTACTTATTATGTACAATTTGGGGGAGGGGAGAATTAATAATTTGGTACTTAAACAGTGAGGGAAACCGGGAATCAACTCAACGGTATCAATAAAGGCAAACAAGTACCTGGGAATTAACTCGTACGCAGCTCAAAATTATCTTAAAAAATCTAAATAATTAGTTTATACACAAATAATTAATTATTTATATCTATATATATTATTAAAACGTGAGACAATTTTTTTGTTAAGTTATATCTGAAGTTCTACTAGACCGATTTTTATGATTTTTTTTTTTTTTTAATGAAAGTGCAGATTAGTTATCTAATGAGAAAATTCCAAAATTTATCAATTTCTTGGATATATTTAGTTTTTCGTGTATTTGTGTAACAATGCACGTTATTTGCCGTTCCTATACAGTGCATTACACACATTTTTATAACCCCTCCAATACTCATCCGTCAACTGCAGTTTGCACTACTGTGGTATCGTCCGGTTGTCGTCGCACATAATTACGACACGTACGTTGCGCCAGCCCTTCTTTTTAAAAATATGGAATTTTATTATTCTATCATTTAGTATGTCATTTGGATGAATTTGTGCGTAGAGGCCCAGAATTTGTATGATCAAATGGACTAAGTTATATCAAAAATTCTTCGAAGAGTTGGCGTGATGTCAGGCCGTTCATTCAGGCGATCATTAGGCATAACCTAACCAGCCCTCCTCCCGCTTGAGAAATATTAAATTTTTTTTTGTAAATCTTTTGCGTTCGATTTGTACATATTTGTACGCGCAATATAAAAATTTGCACACTATTAGTTTTATACATATATTTTGAAGAAAGGGAGGGGAGATATAAGAACAAACTAAAAACTCATCAAAGAAGCTAAAAGTTTAATCATTAAATCAAATATATATGATATAATATGTTTAATGATATTAATCAATGACTAACTAATTTAAGTGTACTACTCCATATTCAGCGACGTGTCGTCAGTCACATCCTTGATGTTGCCTGTTGACCTCCTTGCCCACGAGCGAGCAAGGACCAGGAATCGCTAAATAGACAACACACAAACGTTACTGGCAACTATGCACGAGGTGGAGAGGGTTCATCTCAGTTGCATCCTGGCAGGTCAGATGGGACAGGATGATAAAACGCAGTTGGACTCATCGGCTGCTTCTGAACTTAACACGATGGTTAAAAAAGACGCTCATGAACCTGACTTTCCAATGTCACAGACTCTTCTGGTCATGGCTGTTACCTCAAAAATTTCAACCACGTCGAAGACGCAGCCTGCGTTTGTTGCGGCCATCTCATTACAGCATACCATCTTCTTCAATGGTCATTTACCAACACCAGAAGAGGTAACGGACCTCCTTTGCGGCCCTCTAGGTGTCAAGGACCAGGGATCGATCTTACGCGAAGCATACATCCGAGCACTCGCACTCAATTCCTTTGCATAGCGGAAGCAATCCTTATGATCAAGGAAGAAGACAAAAGGGTCATGGAGAAGCAGAATTGAACAATCTGCAGATGCCACCGACTCGCTTTTCTACTCCTTTACATGGCACCACGGGTGGGACGACAGTCACGGAATCGTAACAAGGCACAAGAATACTAGGGCGGCGGACTTCGGTCGGCCCGCCAAAAACACCGTCCAACATCATCAACATCTTCAAGGAGCTTATGTACACTTTACCATTGTGAAGGAGCAAGTAGGGAGGACTGTCTTTATCTGCCCCTATTGTTGTTACCATAACGTATGTATTATTTGTATTCAAATTAAACGATGGTGGCGTCGCGAAGCAATTTGAAAGCAATTCCCGTGGCGTCATCGATTCTAACAAGGAAAAAAAAGATTCTGGTCAAGGAAAAAATTGTGACCACAGATGAAAAATATGTCCCAAAGAGTTTATATAATTCCCCAACAGTTTTTATGTTTTCCAAAGAGATTATATATATATATATCCCAAAGAGCTTATATATTTCTCAAAGAGCTTATATTACATCCCAAAGAGTTTAAATATTATCCATGGATGTAAATATATTATGCTAATGAGTGTATGTATTTCTCAAATAGTGTATACATATATTAGCCATAGATGATAGTCTATATCCCAAAAATTGTATATACTTCCCATGAGTATACATATATATATATATAATATAAATAATGCAACACAATAATATACATTCTGTTTCCATGGGTGCAAATATATATGCCAATGAATTTATTTATTTTCCATAGAGTATATATGAGTCATAAATGAATATTTATGTCATAGGGTTTCTATATCATCATACATAATAATATTATTATATCAAACATATTCGATCGTATGATAACCTAACCCTTAGTTTTTTTGGTGAGCTTTTAGTTTAATTTTTCGTCGTCACCCCTCCTCCACCCTTTTTTGGAAAGTTATTTTGTGATCCTCGCAAAATTATTAGCAAACAAATGTTTGTATTTCATGTACAAAAACGTACAAATAGAGTGCAAAAGAATGGTAAAAAAAAATTTCATATTCTTAAATGGAGGGCTGGTGTGACGTCACGCCAACTCCTTGAAGATTTTTTTGATATATCTTAGTCCTTTTGTTGAACAAATTCATAAAAATGACGTACTAAATGATAAAATATGTAACGGGTCAAACTTGATACATAAGAACCGACGAATTACAAAACACCAGAACAAGAGGGATAGTTACAAAAACTCCCAACAGATGGCGCTGACAGATGATCAATAACAGATCGCGCTCACGCCTCAAAAGAATATAAATACGAGCCGACACCAACGAACCGGGTCAGTTCCAGCCACACCATCACTATCAGCAACCAGAATTCAACAATGAAAGTTATTATCATAAAACCGACGGACAAACAAGAAAATCGCCGTTTTAACGGTGAGTTATTGACAAACCCCGCCCTATAGTGTTTGTTTGCCGGCGATTTGACTTGCGAACGTTGATCCAAAAATCTACGAGAATAGCATCCAGCAGCAACGCCGACGACTACGACGGTATAAGACATTATTCATCAATGGATGAGGTTCGGTGGATAAATACTTAAAACCACCGTTTTCACGGCAAATTACCGGCATACCATCGCCTTTGTATTTATTCACCGCCAAATCCGGACAACGACGATCGACGGAGTAGATACTAACCTTCTTGTCATACATTCATTAAACTGCCATCTATTTGGGTGAGCCTTTCAGTAAACATATTCATTTGAGTGTGTTTAATCTCCTGACAAAATACCTTTCATCCTGATCCGGGAATTAGGCTTTGACTATCTCTGGTATTTTCCAGAGGTATAGGGATACGAAAATCAATGTCAAAATCAATATATTGATAATATTCTCAAAAGCAATAATATATCGATATTGATATTTAATTTATTTTAAATTAAAATAATTAAAATATGATATTTTTTTCGTATAATATTGTAATAGAGTCAAAATGTTTTTTTTATCTGATGGATTCTTCTTCTTTTTTTTTGGTGTAGTTAGGTCCTCTCCATGGAAAATTTTCTGGATCCTCCCCTATTACAATCCACAATCTAATCAAATATCACTAATATCAGAACAAAAATATCGATATTTCGATAGTGTCTACAAAGGTAATAGGGACAGTGAACTTGGTGTACAAGTATAATCGACGACCCACTGAAAATACCCAATATTACTTTGTACATATTTTTAGTTATATTATAATTGTAAAGCATGTTCCCGATTTTTGTCAAAAGGTATTGATGGCCAAATAGGCCATCGGTCTCTTATCCCATGTTTGTAAAAACAAATTTTTAATATATATAGAAATAAAAGACAATAATAATTAAATACGACTTAAAGTTGTATTTTCATACGAGGCGGTATTTTATCTCATGTGAATACAGTTAAAAAAAATATAATTTCCATATTTTTTAAAAGGGGGCTGGTGTGACGTACGTAATCATGACCCTCCATAAAGTAAATATACTACCGTCTACTGCTGTGCTATCGTCGTCGACAAAACCCATAATAAATATGAGTTATTCAAATACTCTCTTTTCACTTATAAGGCGTCAATTTCCAAAAAGAATTGTTTTTGGTATGACAATAAACAAAGCACGGAGACAAAAGTTGAATAAAATATAGGGTTAAATTTGCCCTAACCTGTATTTAGTTATGGTCAAATTTATGCAGCCATATCCAGAGTTAGATCTTTTGAAAAAATTAAAAATTCAAATAATATCGAAAAACAAAAGAGATACAATGAATATAGTTTTTTAAAGATATTCTTTTGTAATAATACACAAATAAATTTAAATTTTCATTAACTGTCAATTTATTTGTGTTGGGTGAAATATTTGCAATTATTTTTCCGTATATTATGTGTGTATTTATGAAGTTTATTAAAACTTAAGAAGTTAAATTAATTTCCATTTTATGTTTTTCCTAAATATTATTGTCATATTAATATAACTATATATTTATTTTTAATATATATGTATATAATTATTCAAAAACCTTATTTTTTTACTACAATCCGGCAACGATGGGTAATTCAGTTAGTTATTATGCAGACATTGCATTTTATAAGGACATGATCACGTGCTCGCACAACTGTTTTATATTCACTTTTTTATATACCTAACAATTCTTTTTTATATTTGCATTATTAGTTATAATAAAAATAATTTTTTAATACCTATAATTAACACATGGTGTATAGATAACACAATTCCATTTTATTATTTAATATACTTATAATATTATTAAAAGTAATAGGACTGAGAATATAATGTCCCAAAAAACTTAAGAAAATGTCTGTGCCCTAAAAGTTTAAAACAATGAATTAATATTTTTATTTTTAATCATTTAAAAAAAAATTCATTGAGAAATAAGTTTAAAAATACGTATGAAAATCTGAATATTTTCTTAAAAAATTAATTTGAATAGATTAAATACTAAACTGCTCAAGTACACGATGACAAAAATTTAACAACTCAGTAAGGTTTCAACTTTTGAATAATTATCATTGTTCAATTATTATAGTGTTATATATATTATTCAAATTTTCGATTACTTATTGTTTTAAAAATTAAGCATGATGAAAACTTATATTGCTAAACAAATATTTATTAGAATTTATTCATCTCAAAAGACATAAAAATCTCGAAATATAATTAAAAATATTAAATTTTTGTGTAAAGTGTACCTATGTAATCGAGTTTATAGCAACACTAGGTACGTGTGAGTGGGTTTAATGTTAGTAAATATGTGAAATGTTACCTACGAACTCTGAAACCTATACGTAAACAATAACACTGTTTAACAGTATGAACGTGATTTTTCTTGGCGTACAATAATTATGTACCAGTTTATATATAGTGACTCGTTAAACAGCGATGCTGTTCCAATAGTTATCGTTATTATAATTAATAAGCAACGAATTTGTCATAATTTGCCATAAATTTACATTGACATAATATTGTATGAACATGTAAAATAAATAAATTATTAATAAACATTGTTAGCGATAATTTAAATTAAATTAAACTCAATATTATGAATTGTATGTTATATAAAAAAAAAAAACATTTAATTTTATAATTTTGAATATTATTCAAGATGTACTTCATTTGTGGAAATAATATGAACTTTTTATTTTTTAAGTATAATAATCTCTATGTTTTTGAGTTTTTACAGTGCAAAACGTACAGCTATTGAATAAAAATACGACTCGTAGCATTATAATTTTAATTTAAAATAATATATAGTTGTATATTATCACAAAGAATATCTAAAAATGGCATTTGATTACTGTCATGATTATTACATTAAAACCAATAGAGACGAATACCAATAAAAAGTTAGATGAATTAAATTTATTTTTGAAATGAAATCTAAAAATATATCTTTATTAAGTTGAGTGAGATCCCATAAAAATTATACTTCGTTATTATATATTACCACAATTTTTATTTTTACCTATTAAACACTAACATAAAGTTGTCGTTGCGTAATAAAAAATATTAAATTAGAAAATAAATGCTGTAAGAAATGGCTGGTATTTGCACGAGTGGATGAAAATAAACATATTTTAACTGAAACCTTTTATATTTAATTCTAGTTTACACCATATATATTTTTTACAATTTGTAATATAATAAAAATTTAAAATTGTTTAATTAATTCAATTCAAATTCAGGATATATACTTGTTTGCCCTTTGGTATATTATTATGAAAAATAATTATATATTTAAAAATATGTAGCTTTAAGAAGATTAGTTTTGAAGAGAATAAAAGTTTCACCATGATATTCGTTTGAAACCTTTTTTAAACCATATAAATATACGATGTAAGTGTACTCCCATCTATGTATTATATTTAATACATTGTAAACTTTTATTTTAATGTACCTGACATTTATAAGTAATTATAAACTTTTAGAGTGAATAATGCTTTGAATATTTACCTTCAAGGTTTGTTCAAAACGTGCAGTACCTCTGCCCGCCATTAGTTCTTGATATTGAGATATCACACAGAGTACCGCATACAGCTGTAAAATATATAATTACATTATTGTAGACAATATTAACTGAGACCGTATCTTTATTTAGGATATATTGTTTTTAGAGGGAATAAATGGTTTAGAATTGAAATAACATAAACAACGTGGAAGTTAGGTTAGGTTCAAGAATTGGTACACATTACATTAGTTGTGTTACTATAATAATAGATATAATAAAATATATAAACGTAAAATAATAAATGGTTATAAAAATGAAATAAATCATCATTTTATTATCTTGGCGTTTTTATGTATTATTTACAGATATTTTTTTTTCGATAGATGGTGTTCATACATTGTCATCATACAACGATTGAAAGGGATATTACACGACGATATCGTATTATGTTACACCCGGTTACGAGCAAATTCAAATCATAACGAAAATATTTTGTTCCGTATATTATAGGTAAACTATGCGATAACCCACGGTTAACGCTAATATTATATTGCTTTGATTGTTTTGAAGGCTTACCGCGTGCAGTGGAGTTAAATAGATGCCAGATCGGTTGACAAGCTCCATAGATACATGTAAATTTGATCATATTCATGTACAAAGGAGAAGGGTTGCGCGTGAAGCTAGGCGTCTCAACACGAAGCTGATTAAATATTATGCACGAAGGGTGCGCACCGCGAGGTAATTTCTAACTATTGGTTGGTGTAGGTGGTTGACATAAAGACGCGCTTAGGGAATCATTGTGTGCGTGGGCGTGTGTGTGTGTGTGTGTGTGTGTGTGTGTGTGTGTGTGTGTGTGTTCGTGTATTGAGTTTGATACTGTCGTGAGAAACTTAATGTATGCCATCGTTACGGCATTATTATTATTTTTAAATTTTATGCGGAGCGGAAAGCTATTGGTTTATAATAATAATATTATATTATTATGTATTATATAATGTGCGTGAACATAATAATATTTTATCACAATGATTTTTTTTCTTTGAGAAAAAACTCTTTCGAGTGGAAAACACGTGCCCCAACAATTTCATGTACAATAAATAACTATATAATATACGTACATAATTAGAACGATAATATTATGCTTTGATCGCGTATAAGATAGTTTCAATGAATAAAATAATGTTAAGAAAAAATATTACACTATAGAAATAGCTTCACTTAGAAACACGGTTCCGTGAACAAATTTAAGGATTATTATTATCGGTTTTACAGGGGCGTTTTCTGAATACCTATTTTTAATGGAGTAAGATAGAAAAACTTACTATAAAGTTATCCACGGGTTTGTAGCCCTCGCCCTACCCTTTAAGTTCCCATGATAACAATGAAATATATTTTTAAATCTCAATAAATACTATTTTTATTGTATTTTATATTTTAATTTTCATTTAAAAAATATATATTTTTATTAACTTCTGAATTATACAGCTAAAATAATATAAATAAATAAATAAATATGATATCAAGACCGTATTTTATAGCAATAATCATTATTTTCTCTTTAAATTATTAACATTGTTGATCCGTTGAGATGTTACCAAAAAGTGACTGTAAATTACAAAAAAAAAAAAATAATAGTTAACTTACTCTTTACTCCAGCCATTATGCTTTTAATAGACAGATTTCTGCCTTTTCAAATGTTTTTCCATTTGTAAATCGAAGTTGATATACTGTCAATGGCGTATAACAACCATTGAGTATTGAAATTATAGTTGTTATACATTTATGATATGATAATATTTTGAATACTTAATTCAGACTTTGCGCTTGTCAAAGACAATTTAGGATTAAATGATTTCAATTTTGTGTGTCTTATTTTTATAGATTATATATATAATGAATGTTTGAACTTATTATTTATTATATTGTATAATTTATGTTTTACTCATCACTGAATGTAAAAAAAAATATAGAAAAAGATAACGAATCTAACATCATCACAAAAATATATTAATATTTTCTATTACTATAGTAAGTGTATGATAAGTACATGAAAAATACTTAAACATTACTATATCATCATAAGTTCCTGTTATTTGGCATTGAAAAAATAATATTGAGAGGGAGGTCTGTACATCCAATATTCTCCCACCAGTGAGAATGTCCATGTTAAGTAATGGGTACTTGTAAAATTCTTCAGACAATACTTTTAACGAACATAATATAGTACCTAGTATATGGGTAAACATCAATCAAAGAAAAGATCTTTACGACTTTATCTCTACGAATCGTTAACAAAAAGTACAGACAATCCAATACATAAGACTGATAATATATTTGGGGTTATTTTCGTACTTTTTTTAATCATTTTCCGCGTAGAAATAAAGTAATAATTATTTCAATTGATACACTGTTATTAAATAGATATTTTAAGCTTGGTCGTTTATTTATAACCGAGAGCAAAATTACCTCATGCATACATAATATATTACACTATTGAAAGCCCATTGACACCTACACTAATATACGTAGTTTTATGATATAGGTAACGGTTAAATAGAAATTCAACCTTTCTGTCCTTTCTTATAATTATAATTTCCGATCGGATATTAAAGTGGTTAATAATAACAGTTTCTTAAGGCCTTTGCAAAATATGCAAAACATTCTGTCATTTTAATTTGATTTATTCGGTTTGGTATCGACACGTCGTCGTGGAGGGTATAAAAAAATCAAATCTCCATTACATGTTGTTTATTACATAAATTTTTATTCTACAGGTGCGTAAAACGTCGGTTTATTATACTTGAGTATTTTTAGATTTATAAAATAAAACTTATACAGTCGATTGAAAATTATATTTTTCACAAACAATCGTAATATTTTGTTACTTGGTACTATAGTACTTAGAGAAGATATTGAGAAGAAAATGTTACAACAGATTTTTAATTTTGTTTCATATATTTATTTATGCCATAAAATATTCGTTGACATAATTTTTCATATTACAATAAATCCTTTTAAAAGCAACTATAATAATTATTGTTGACATGTTTGTGATTTGGATTTTTTGAGCAGGTATATGAATTACATATTCGTTTTAATCATACTAAATGTTTTAATAATAATTTGGTACATTTGGGGAGTGCTGATTTTAAATGTATTTCAACAGTATTATCATATATGTTCATCGTTAAACATTTTTATGATTTTATTTTGTGTGTGGGAATATAGAGATTCATTAATATTAAACTGTGTCCGGAATTTCAATAGGTACGACATTATCCTCGATCTCATTATATAGAGTATGTTATAAAACAATCCCTCTACTCTTGGTCATTTATTATATATTTAATTACTTACTACGTTTCACATTCGTGTCTGAGAGTTATATAAGTTGTGAATATATATATATATATATTAAAATAGCGTTTTTCAATCTATGGTTAGGTGAGGTGGTACAATAGTATGCGAAGGAAACCTTAATTTATAAAATAAATGTTATTGTATTATTATTATGTTTTTGGTTATTAGGTAAACATTTTCAATATGGATTGGTAGTCTTGGATGTAAAAAGGTTGAGAATCACCGTATAATATGTATTTTGTATATTCATATTCTAACAACATGGTACAAATTTAAATTGTATACAAGAATATGCACACGTATAGGAAACAGGGGTAAATTGAAAGGATCGTATTGTAATTTGATGATTAATTTTTCTTATAATATTACTCTGCTCATATAATCAAATATTATTTTATAGAAGGTATATTAAGCTAATATATAAAATATTTACACGAATTGTCTTTTAATAACCTTTCGAAGTATAAGTTTTTAATTATGTTAATGATCAATGTTATCATGAAGTTTTCTTTCTTAAATAATATAATGTTTAAGGTATCGTTTTAAATTTATGGGGAAGTCGTAAAGTATCCCCAATATTATATTGAAAATTATTATTATTGCTGAGTTCAGTTTTGAAAATTTTACTGTACCTAATTTAAACTTTGACAAATGAGTTTTTGAGTTACTAAAATATTTATAGTAAAAATATTAGTTCTTTAAAGTGGTTTTAAAAACATATAAAATAAATGTAATATTGAATCTAGTATTTACTATACTTAAATCATTAAAAAAAAAAAAAAAAAATTATAAATAATAATAGATTTATGTATTAATTATTTTTATTTTTAAACCATCAAAATATATCCATATATTTTAAACTTAACTAGATCCAATTTTCTACTAGGAACCATCATAAAAAGCTAAAGTTGCATGAATTTTTACGGCTCTAAAAGGTGATGAGAAATAAATAAAACACATCATTGTAAAATAAATGCATTCATTGTTGTTCGTTCAAAATCTAAAATATAGGTTATTCACTGATATCAGCTTCAGAGAGATGTGAAAAAATAATATTGATTTTACAATGAATTGATTTTTTTTATACCGTAGTGAAATGTCTTCAAAAGTTTAATGTAGCATATTATTATGTAAACGATTGGGAATTGGACTTACATATAATATTATAATGTTAAAAGTATAAAAGTAAATGAAAAATTGATTTTATACTAATAGAACGACTTTTAATATTATTTTGAACACATAAATATCTTTAATTGTAAGTATAGTTAATTTCTATGGGACATAATCTAATAAATATACCTAACACAAAAATAAAAACCAATTATTTTAATAATTACAATTTTTTTTAATTTAAAAAATACTAAAATTAATAACGATTATTTTAAATTTAATTTCTTTATCAGTGATAAAAAAAAAATAATTCAATTGAATGAACATAATATTAATGAATTGTTTAGATTGATTTAAAATTGAATTTTTGGAATAAATTAATTTTGAAACTTCTGTTTTTCATGTAAATGTAAAACAAAAAAAGGCAGAATACAATAAAAATTACTAGCTATTATCCATAAAAATATTTAAAATATTTTATAAAATTTCTTATTAAAAAAACCACGGTATAATTTTTTAGGAAATTAACAAAAAGTTTGATTTTAAAATTTTTTTTTCTATTAATTTTTACTGGATTTTGTTTTATACAATTACAGAAGACTGTCTTTTTGGTAAAAAAAGCTTTTTTTTTCTTTTTTGTTTAAAAGTACTACCAAATCAATATAATTTTATTTACAATAATTTATTTTAATGACATGACTACAATATTAGATACTAATAATGGGTGATTAACTAAGCAAGTAAATTTGGCACGATTAGAATAGGTTCCTAATTCTTTAGGATAGTATAGTTTTAGTAGTTTGTTAAAATGTTTGGGTACAGTGCGGGAAAACAAAAGTTTGATTATCGGATTTTAAATATTTCGAGTTCTTTGGTGAAGTAATGCGGTTTAATAACTTTTTGTTGGTTGATTTAAAGCTTACATTTAGAGGTCTTTGTGAAAATTATTTATTTTTTTATACGATGGAGCTGAAGTGATTTAACGAAGACAAATGAATTGAAACATCTGAAGCGTTTTGAGATTTTAAAGTTTAGCTAAATCTCATACTTAGATTATATATACCCAGATGAGTTTTATTACTATTGAAAAAATTTAAACTGCGGATAGTTAATACTGTTTTAGATAGTAACAACAGTCAATGGCGGACAGATTGTATTATTTCAGATAAAAATGAATTTATACATATCACATAATTTGTTATTAAAAAACACTGGCAGTTAATAGATTCTTTATTATGAATAGCTCGGCTTTTTATACAAGATAGTAGATAGTGTGAGATTTTTGAGCTTCTATATAGTATTGTTATTACTTGGATCATGATTATGATCAGTTCATTTTGTAAATAATTCATACTATGATATAAACATATAAAAGTATTTTTTTAAATATTTTGATGTTATATTATGGTATAGTATGAAAATAAAATGATTTATAACTTATAATTCACCGGTTTATAAAGGTTTGTAATAACATTACCTGTACAAGTCACTTTTGAACACTTTTAACGAATATTTGATTTATTTATTCTTAAAACGGTATATTCATACCCATATTTAAAAATGTTAGTATTTAGTTTAGTAGTTTTGTTTTGGTTCATAGTGTATTTTAGAGTATATAGGTCATGTTCTACTGTGTCACCAAACTCATGTCTCATACTGATTGCGATCACGATTCGCGATCTAAAGTTTTGAGCAATTTTATTTTATCCTATCTAAAATATATTTTCTATGATTTATTTATACCGTAAAAAATGTGCGCGATCGATTTTTACCAATTTATTATTACTGTACAAAGTGTCCATGGCAGCAACTTAAACAATAGATAGTACAAAATGTTCGTTTATTCAGGCGCTTGTCAAAAATTTAAATTACATATTTTACTAAATTAGGATACGGTAGAAATTATATTATTGTTTATTTTTACATGTGGTATACCCTTGGGCGAAAAGTGAATTTTAAAAATGAAGACTTGGTGTTGTTGATTTATTTGAACAAACATTTAATTACATCAAAATGCTTTTGGTTAAATTTGGAGACAATTTATTGGGTCTTTATTAAAAAGTATTTTTATTGTATCATTGGTAAATGTACCAATGGATATAATAAAATAAAATATGGGAGTATATGCGTCTTGTAAATATCCTAGACTACATTAGGAATAAAATCACTTTTGATAAAGATAATTGAGATTTCAAATTTTAAAGACTATCATCCAATTGTTATATGCATATCAAATATGATGTTCATTGATTGGTGTTATAACAGCTTATTAATAAATATTTAAACATTTTGATTTGACTTTAACGTAATTGGAATCTTGTCTTCAAGGATAGGGGGGAATAGAGGTGTATGAATTTATCCTGAGTTTACTAATTTAAGAAGGGTGGAGTTCTAAGTGGCCTTAAAATTATGATAAATGCATAGCATTATAAATACAAAATATGTAATACGTTGAAATCTTTAATAAACACGTTATTGATCTATGATAGTTATTATAATTAAGTTAATAAGTCAAAAATTTTTTAAAATACAAAATACAAGTCGACATGATAATAAATTTTAATTATTTCAGAATTTTGTGTAATTACAAGAGCAAATAATATGAAAAATCTATTGATAAATGTGTTTAATACTGAAATGATGTGTATATAAAATTCAACGTGATTTGTTTGGTTACATTTAAGTCAATACTCAAAATAATATAAATAACAGTTGTTTACATAACGAGAGATAAAATATATGCGACAACTTTTCTAATTTAAATATTTATACACGGAAAGTAAGACGTGAAATAACGACTTGGAATAAAGTAGTGTGGGATGGAATTTAAAATAAATTAAAATAAGAAATAAAGACATTTTTGACTTATAAAATACGTGTGCACTAGAGTGAAATAATTTTTTGAAAATAAAACATAAAACTGTGTTGATATTTAACGTAAATCAGTGGCATTTTTAGAATTTTTTAATAGAAAGGGATATACATAAGTCTTAATATTTGAAAATGCAAATTATATGAAAAGAACAGAAAGTGCATATTTTAATTAAGGTTTAAAAATATACTCAGTTAAATATTTGTATATACCATACAATTAACTTCGGTCGATTACCTCCACTTGCTTATATTAATTTACAATGTTCACTTTGCCACAGAAGCAAGATATATCGATTAAATTTTTAAATTGACAAACTATAATTGTTTCAGAAAAATAATTTTTAGTGATTAGTGCAACTAAAAATTTTGATAAAAATATTCGATTGGCATTTGCTTTTATTTAATTATGTTATTTTTGTAATTTCTTAAAATTTATCAAGAAATTGAAAAATTAACATTAAATTTTAAATTTTAAATTATTTTGTAAAAAACTTTTTGAGCTTTTATACTATCAATAAGTTAAATATCCCGTAAAAACTTTGATTTCCGAGTATGTTTAAAAATTAATTAGTATACTTTTATTATTTTCAATAATTTCTATTTATAAGTTAATTTAACGCATTTGCATTGATTAAATTGTAAAAAATTATTTTATTTAATGTATTTAGGCGTTTAAATATATTACAAAAATTGAATAATTGTTATTGATTAATAATGTGAACAAAATACTTACGTTTAAAATTAGTAGAAAAAAGTCGATAGTATACAAAATTGCTGTTGGCGGATTGAATTCAACCTGTAATTTATAACAATAATTATAATAATTATGATTTTTACTTGAAATATACAACAAAGATTATTTAGAGGTAATTTACGTAATTATGAATTTAATTTTAATGAAATATGTTTTCTTATAACTACATGATATATATATATATAATTTAATAGATTTTTATTTTTACCATTAAATTATGTTTATATTCTCTTATCAAAATTACTATATAGCTAGTGAACTGGAATATATTAATAATTTGTCTAATGCTATCTGCCGTTTGTTTTAGTCAGGCTGATTTATTAATTAACTAGTAATTTTTAAAATAGATGTCATATTGAATCAATTTAGTATTTATTATATCAAGACAAATTGTTATAGATTGTAAAATATTATTAATTACTATAGTCTTCAAATCGTTATATAGTCTCCGGCTATAATTTCTAAACTTATAACACAGACTTATTATTTTTAGTACTCTAAGTTTTATCAAATCAAAAACTACTTGTTAGAATTTTGATTTATATATATATTATACAAATTTTTAAAAAAGTCATTGGCTTAATAGTTCATAAGAAACAAAGGGAGATTCTTATTTGAAAAAAAAAATAAGTAGGTTTCGTCATAGAACTATTTAAGTAATCTAAGTATTTGATAGTAATAATATGATACTTAACAATATTTAAAAATTCAAAAAATCAGAATTTGAGTAAATTAATTTTAAAAAATGGGGGTGGAGGGAGCACGTTAGAATAATTTCTCTGAATAGTATTATGTAATCGAGATTCCGAGCGCGTTCACACCTGTTACAGGTTATAGAACATAGTACATCGTATTATATTTGTACGTCGTATTGGGTGGTAGCTGAATGATTTGCGATGACAAGCGATGTGACCGCGTAGTATCCATTTCATTTTACACACAGCGATGATCCGACTACAAATAATATAATTTTATGTGCATAGCATTACATTTTAATATACGATTGTAATTACTGGAAAAAAAAATCAAATCATAACTGTTCAAAATTTATACTGATAATATTATGGTCTTGAATACGAGAAGGTTTTTACATGGAATAACTTATAATAAATAACAATCAAGTAGTGACGTGCAATTAGGATTTTGTCGTTTATTGGTCACCTTCCACTTTTCCATTCGATAATCACTTGTCAATATCCAGATCAATAATATTGCGATAAATGTAATATCAGTCATCGTACACGTTATGTTAATCATTAAAATCGTGTTGACTGCGCTATTTATAAAGTACATGAGTACATGACACGGTGGTTGATTACGCCGACGTTAGTCTGTGTAAAAGGAGTGGTTGATAACAACAGTTAGCTTTTGAATAGAATTCTCGAAACTGTCTAGCAAGACGTTTCAATAGACGCAGGGATTTGTTCCCTAAAAAGGTCGGACATGACAAAAGCATACACAAGAGAAAAAAATAAGGCTCGCGTAACAAGCAAACAGTGCAACGTATGACGGACCAGTTAATCCCGAGTGTTCTTAAGAGATGTCTCGAACACGATTTTTTTAGTTCCGAGTCTTCGAGTTAATAGTACTTATATATAGGTATACACTGCAACGTTTTTAAAAATTCGAATAGAATGTTTATATCACAAACGATCGTTTTGTGCTTCAACCGATAAGATAAGTAACTTATAAGATCTACAAGTAATAAAAAAAAAAAAAAAAAAATTGTTTATACAAAATACTATATTATTATAAAACGATAACGACATTAGAGATGCTATTATAGAATCCGTTTATGATACTAGAATTACGATAGTATTGGACCTTTATTTATTTTATTTAAGGTAATTTAGTAAATTGATACAATCAAAACGTATAAATTGCTATTATTTTCATAATATAACGATAAAAAATATATATATAGCTAAATAAATAAACAATAAACAATTACTACTGTATCGTAGTAATTGTCGATTAATAGTTACATTAAAAATATTGTAAATCTAATAGATCTATAATAGTTTAATAATAATCAGTGGCGTAAATACATGGTTGCATAGGTATGCATTGCACCGGGGCCCGGGGTCTAGATGGTCCAAAAGGGGGCTCTAGAATTTTAATATTTTGTTTAAAATATATTAAAATTTTACATTTTGTTAATACAGTGGAACCTCGATAACTCGAACTTCTATAAGTCGAATTTTCGATAACTCGAATTTTTTTTTCGCCCTCAACCGATTCGAGTTATCGAGGTTCCACTGTAATTTTAAACTATTTTATAATAAATAATATACTACGATAAAACCATAAACATTTATATTACGAAGAGTATAAAAACAAATATTATTATGTCATTTATTTCATGTATAAATATAATTTAATTAATTATGATATACTTTATGAATTATAAATATTATAATACATAATTAATTATACATTTTATATATACGTGTAATTGTCTAATTTTATTCATATAACGATTTTTAGGGGCCATAAAATAATATTGCACATGGGCTAGAATTTTATAGTTACGCTACTGTTAATAATAACTGTTCTGTTAACTCGCTGTTAAAAAAAATATATACGACGGTATGTTTATATGGCCTATCTATAACTCTGTGACATTGTTATTTTATTATTTAAATGTAGTAAATAATGTCAGTAATTAATTCAAACAGCAAAGTATTTCAATTTTAATTTTACATGGCTAGTCCAGATGTCGATCTAAAATAAAAGACCTTAACCTAACTCATAGGCAGTAATTGAAGTGATTCGAAATAATTGAGGAAAAGTTTAAAAAAATCGTATAAAAATAATAAATTTGTTGTTGAGTTTACTACGTAGGTATATAAATGTGTTACTTATACAAGTCAATTTGTTCTATGGAAATTCTTAAGCTTATTAATATAATATTATATAGTATTTTAATTATTAATATAAATTATTTATAAAAATAATTTGCAATGTTAATTGAATTGTTTTTATGATATATTATATATGTGACTAATTAGTTTAAATAATAATTAATCTCTTAAAAAATATTTTATTTATTCTTGTAAGACGTTGTGCTCTAGAAACCGCAAAGGATAAGATCATTAAAGACAACTATATGTCTAATAAAATATACACGTATAAAGCTATTATATATGATGTACACGAAAAAAAGAAGCTAAAAAGTCCGTCCAAAATAATATTGAGCTGTAAATGTCACAAAAAAAAAAAAAAACAAACATGTTTTTTACAAGTTCATCCTTTTTCAAAATAAAAAATACAAAACTAAAAAGATTCAATTTATGAAACACTGTTTTTTTTCTCCGTAAATTATATCATAGTCAAAGAACTCATTTAATCGATTTAAAAAAAAAAAAAACACCCAAGAAACTTTTGATTGAAACACAATTACCACGGGTCAAATGAACCTTTCCGAATATATGTAAATTAATGCCTGAGGTTAAAGTTGTTTTAAAGGGTCGGCAAAACATTCAAGTTATTGAACATTTCTAATAGTGCGCTATAGACGGAAAGTCTTGTCTCCGCGGTATGGGCGTAATAAGGTTGAACCGGACGTATGAGACGCGATTAATAATTAATAGTTTGGTCGACCACTATAGATTTTCTATCGTAACCAACCTTTTATATTTATATTTTATTGTCCAATAATACTTCCCGGTCGATTATAATTCAAAACTTTATTATATATTACACTTGAATTATATGCATAGTACTCTAAACTTAAAACGCTTAAAACAAATACATTTTAAGCACAGGCTATATACAATAAACCTATTGGTTAAAGAGTTAATAGTACTTGATATAGAGTGATCATATTATTGATTGATAAAATATTTTTTTAAATACTATGTTTCCAATAATATTAGACTTGACGAGTTAAAATAAATATTTAAAAAGTTGTATATATATATGTATTCTAATAATATGGAAGAATAGATTTTTTTTTTTTTTTTTTTTGAAAACGAAAAATTGAATTTTAGCTTAAAAACAATATTTACGGTTGTAAAGTATTTAGTTTGCATTAAATTATTAATAAATATTTTAAATGTAATTAATAAAATTATTGTACCGAATTAAAATATGTTGTTTTATTTTTCCTTTATATATATATTGAATTATAGAGCATATTTTATTTATTTTTGTAATACGAGTATGTTTCCTGTTGTATAAACGTACAAAATAACCATAATTATTAATTTAACTACAGAAAATATTAATTATAAATAATATATGCAACGGTGTGGTAAATTATTTAAATTATGTAAAGTAACGTAAGTTATACATTTTTTAGAATCTATGAATTTCAAAAAAAAAAAAAAATAAAAAAATTCTAACATTTTAACGAGAGTTAATTATTTATTTAGTCTCAGTATAGTCCATTTAAAATACTTTCTATTGTTTATACATTGAATGAAGCTGTCAATGTTACTTGGTAGTGAGCTTAAACTTCAGATTGCGCGCCACGCAGACGTATAATAGGTATAGTTTGTATTTTGAAAAAATTGTATTTTTTCAAAATGAAAAACTATTTTATAACATGTTGCAAGTGTGTTTTAAGTTTTTAGTAATTGTTCATCATATTATTCTATTAAAATGATATATTTAGAATAAAATAAATATAGTTAACTAATTAATGGATTCTAGAAAAATATAACACATACCTCAGAAATAAATCGCTTACATATTTAGGATGGTATAAAACTTAAAAGTAGTTTTTATATTCTTTATTGAATGTACAATCATTGATCGAGAGAAGAATACTACAGAGAGTATCCGAGTCGCATTTAAAATGTTTCTTTTTAACATTTAGACGAATATTAAAATAGAAACTTAAGACAGCATAATATTTCAAATTTATAATTTATAAAGTATGAAATGTGAAAATGTATAGTAAAATTTTGTATTATATTTGATAAAAATAAAACACTCTACAAAAATATATCAATGCAAATATGTAAGTGGGCGTTATAGATAAAAACCATTTATCACATACCTCATAGTATAATATAATATATTTACAACTGACATAACTAAATAATGTTCAACCTATATATTTCTAAGAATCATCTATGTTTAAATATTTTCTTCAAAATTTACAATAAGTTTGAATAAATTGTGTTTTATTTAATTTAATAGGTACAAATTTAGGATTTAGATATTTTTTATTGACAAAGAAAAAAATGTCCTAATGCAAAGATTTTTTTCTTTTTTTATCATATTTTAAGCAAATTATATTTTGTTTGAATTTAATAAAATAAAATAAAAATCTATTTAAACAATCACTTTTAAATAAATAAAAATTTGCAATTAAAAAGTATAAAATAATTTTTATAATATAATACAATTCAATTTAAAGAGATTTCAGTTACTAGAGTTAATATTTTTATTTTTTATTTTGTTACACACGTACACAATTTGTATTGATATGAATATTTAATTAAAGATATGTATCATATTACATGGTACTGTATAATTTAAATTTTGATCAAAATGTCGAAGTAACATAACAGTAGAACCATTTTTTAAACTTTATACTGTATACTTTATACATCGCCCTCGATTTTAGGGTTACACGTAGGTATGAGTGATCGATTAAATACGCATCATTAATGTAGGTATGTAGTATTTAATCGTATATATTTATATCAATATACTTCGAGTAGGTATAAAATAAAATGAAAACTGGCGTTGATAGTAATTACATAAAAATATAATCTTGTCAAGTTGTAAGTCGTACATGAGAAGCACTCTCTGATAGTGCACCAAATCCGGTCTATCAGTATTAGTATAAGGCTCATGTTGTAGAATTTAGTGAAAGTAGAGTACTGAGTACTTAACATTTAAGTGGTAGTCATATATATTGATAAGTACATCACAGTGCATCCGTAGTTTTCAACCATATCATTCAGAAAACCATGACAAAAGTTTAACGATTTAAGTTTTTCTTAGTGTGTTTAGAGCTGCTATAATAATGTGATTGTGATAAACGATTCTACCGTTAAAAAAAAACTTCTACTTTTGTTTTCTAGTAAGTATGTTATTCTTGTAGTGTTAAGTTTAATGTTGTAATAAAAGAACAACGACGTGATAGTATTTGATACATTTTTAACGAACCAACGGTACCCCAATGGATCTAATATTTGTACAGAAACAAGGTTCAGGTTAGGTTAGGTATCTTTAGAAATTCGTATAAATTTCTTTTCTCTTTTTCGGTATAATATAGGTATTTATGAATACAGAATAATATTATAATTTATTGCGCCGATGTTCTCTCAATAATTTCTATTATATATCCATAATTTTTATTGTATTTCAATTTTTTTCTATGTATAGGTTATCTATATTTATTGGAAATCGAGTATTTGCATATTATACATTGTAATAATATTTATTATTCAACTAAAATATTTGTGGTTTATTTATTTTCACAGATTTTTTATTTACTATGATCCTCACATACATTTATTGTACAAGTATTTTCATTAACTATCAACATTCATTTTAATTCAACTAATTAAATTAATTACATTACACTATTGTATGATAATTAAATTATAAAATATACATTGAAATACAACCTTTATTTAGTTGAATAATATCCTGATACATCTTTGGTTACTTTAATTACACAAAAATGACATTATTATGTATAATTGCAGTTCAATTGATTAGTGATTTTGAAAAATGGTCTAACAAAAATATAAAATGTATGTAATATTAGATTTAGTATTTATTATAAAGACTATTTTTACAAATTATTTATGTTTATGGATTTATATTAATTACCAAGAATTTTTAAATCATTGTAATCACTTTATCTTCCAAATTCACTATCATAGATCTTTTATTCATAGTAAACAAAATTAAGGAACCTCAAAAAAAAACTCATTCGAATTTTAATTCTAATAGATAAAAATATTCAGAAATTGTATCCATTAAATAATCAAAGCAGGAAAGGGAGGGGTTCTCATTTAAAAGACAGAAGTTTGTATCTCCGCAAGACATTCTTTAAGTATAGTAGGTACATAAAGTCTCAATAATTTGAAACTATAGTCATTAAGCATATTTAAAAATTTCAAATCGATTGAAATTTTCGGAAAACACTTCTTGTTATGTATAACTAAATTAGTGAAAAAGAAAAAAAAGGGATGAGCATGATTGGTGAATCAACTTGTATATTAAATATTATTGTACGAATACTTATATTTACATGCGTAAAATATAATTGAAACCACTAAAGTTTATTGAGTTAAACTTTCAAAAAATAATCATAATATTTTTATTAGGTGTATAGTTTTTTACGATTGTATCTGTTATACGTTCTAAATTTCTTATAAAAAGGAATAAATAGGGATGGATTAAAGGCACTGCAAACTGTGCGGCAGTATTGGATGGCAAATTTTGGGGGGGTGACAAAATTGTATTGAATATTTATTTGGTTTTTATGAAATAAACTAACATAATTTTTAATTTATTTTACCATTTCAACATTTTGAATGGTGTAATTGGATTTTTTATTCGTTTATTTTTAGTAAAGATGTAATTATTTTTCTCCAAGAAACTCGTTGTTGACGACGGTGGTTGTGCTTTATTTTAGCTTATCTAATTATTTATAGAATATAGATATAATACATTTTACGTCATATAAACATTCGCTTTATAGAGATCGTAATCGATACGGGTTTATCTCGTATACTATAATATTACAACGTTTAGTTGACAATTCGATTCTAAAGTTTATTCGTTTATAATTGAATTAGTCGATAGTCGTCCATCCTCCAATACGTATGCGTACGCATAAATTATTAATTTATAAAGTTTTTCCTGTATACATTATAAAAATAAATAGCAGATATTAGGTTTGAATAGAAACGTTTTATTTTTAAACTTAACTTGGATAAAAAAATAATTGCATATTATTAAAAAAATTAATTGGTTTCAAGATATTTAGTAGTATATATATAAGTTATTTTTTTTTTAGGATAGGAGCGGTGAATTTTATTTGGCATAGGAGTAGGAAACTGTTAAAGTCACCATCGAGAATAAATATATAATAGTTTAAAGCCAATAAGTTTTTGTTAGTTGATTCAATATGTTATATGATGATTTGATAGACATCTAATAAAAATCAAATCATGGAACGAGAACATTAGACGCCGACCGATGATTACATTTAACTGTGTTACGAAATTTATTACGAAGAGATTGTCAAATTTATTTATCACGTGTTTTGTAATAATTTTGAAGCTCTGTTTAGCTTTAAATTTGTTAATAAATTATTTTTAATGACTTAATACAAATATGGGTACAACTTTTTAAAAACTCACCATGGTAAGCAGCAGTGAAAGTATAATTGTCGAAAAGGATAACCGTTAAGTTAATAATATGTTATTACATTCGGTATGAAACTAAAAACTAAAAACGAAAATCCCGAGTCAAAGATAGAGTTATCTAAGGCTTGTGCAATTCATGTGAAATATACTATATCAAGATATCATTCACTTATTCTAAGACCCCAATCCACGTATATCTCTGAATTAGTCCATATTAATTAATTACATGGATGCCTACGGTGTATTTAACAATCATTGCTTAAGAAAATTTTAGTATGTAATAAACTTAAAGTTCGATATTGTAGTTATTTTATTACATAGTTATTTGAGGATATCGTTAATCATAACTTATAATATTATATGGGTAATATTATACTTTACGTTACGATGTTGGATTTTATATCGCACGACCGAAGTGATATTATTTTTCATAATCAGTATGATAAATTTGATGTTTAATAAAATTGTGAATTTTTATTAAATCGAATTAAGATACATTTGTTATTATGAAATACTTGAGAAATTTTAATAAATGTCTTACAACTTACAAGTATATGAATATTAGTAAAATATAATATTTATAAATACATTTGTTAAGAAGTATAATTTATTTTATTTTCATAATATTTCGTGTAATAAGAAAAACTTTATAAATATTTTACATTTTAATATCAACATTTAATATTATTTATTAGTTGAAGCGTTTTCAAAGTTAGCTTAGTGAGAACAATGAAATTAAAGTTTTATATACGTATCAGGTGATTTACTGACAATTATTCCATGGTTGTAAATGAGTAATGAAGTACCTATTATCCCCTCAGAGTCAACTTTAGCCATTGGCTTAACATTTATTAATTAATAATTAATAAATTAAAAAATTGAGTCAGTAAATACGATCATAAATCTTATGCGATTTAATTTGCAATGTGTCAAGTGTCAATAAGAATAATTAAATTTTTACAGTCCATTTTTAATGGAGAATTTTATTATTTTTTGAATCTATATTTACCGTATCTAGTCCGTATAAATATATTGAATGTGCGACATCAACAGCAGTTGCTAAGATCATTGCAAATATCCAAGGTACGAATAAAACTCTGAGATCCTGAAACATAATAATCAGAAAAATATATAGAATAATTATTTGTATGAGTGTGACCAAAATACCTCAAGATTTTATAATTTTATTTGTGTATCAACGTATAGTACCCCGAACCAGGGACGTAATACAAGGGAATATACGGGTCAGATATCTCAATTGTCTTCTTTTTTAAAAATGGTTAGTGGACCATGTTAAATCGATAATTGTCAGTACTAAAAACATATTTACACTAAAAAACAAAACTACATTAAAAAGTGGTTTGATATTGATAAAAAATAATATTTAAGAAATAACTTGGTTATCATTTTTGAAATATAATAATTATTAAATAAATAGTAGTTATATTTTTATAAAGCTTAAAAAAAAGTAGTTGTTTTTGTAATGAAAAGTATAATTAGAATAATACAAAATCATCTTTTTTTAGTTGACTAATATTGCAATAATTATTAAAAATTTACCTTTAAAATATTGTTATCTCTATTAATTTTATTAAACATGTTTTTACTCTAAAACTACTGTATGTGATGCCTTTCCGTTTGCTTTGCATAAACATATTGTTAATGTCGTTAGATTTGATTTTTTATTCCTATATGTCTATATGACATTAAACTACGATATTTTCAACTGTGAGTTGTGACAACTAAAATCGTTATAGACATGCAAAAGCATAACTAGGCCTTGAATTTTGGGGGTTTGAGTATCATCTACAATTATTATGTATTTGTTACCATTTTTTATATGTTATAATGACAATAATTTAAAACATCTATTTTTTGGTCATAATTTAGGTTTTTTTTTTATTGATCCCTTCATTCACAATACAACATTTATGTATACGCCCCTGATTTGAACTATATATACGTACTATAACATACACTTTTTATGTATTGATTATATTATGGTAGAAACTATATTATAGCTATTGATAATAATTATATTATGTTTATAATTATAAATATTTATCCGACATAATGGTAAAAAATAAATGAATATTATTTTTATAGATGATTGTTACAATAATATTTTATAACATCGTAATATCTAATAAATATTTCAGTATTTAAACATTATGATAAATAAAAATGTCAATCATTTAACACATATAATACTTATTTTGAAAATTAAATTAAAATTGTCCCGAGTTAATTAATTATTTACAAGGTCAATGGAAGAGATTTTAATTTAGTTTTATTTTTGACGACCAAATTTGAACGTTAACATACATAAAGCTACATTTTATTTGGAATAAAAATGCAACCATTTTACTGAACAATAAAGAAAACATTTTATTTCTTCACAACATATTGAAGTAGTCACATAGAAAGCAATTAATTTTTATTATCTCCGAAATAAAATACTTAAGTGTCAAGATTTATTAAGCTTGATAATTAAAAACATTTTCAACAATATATATATATATATATGTATAATACATTTTTAAAAACTTACAATTTTAGAAACAATTTAATGGAATTTATTATTAAAAAAATTACTTGAAAACAATTTAAATATTTAATTACGATGTCTTGTGTAATTTGAATAAAAACTGTAATTTATAGACATTTATGAAACACTCTAATCAAATAATGCTATGCTACATTATTATATTAGCTGAAACTACTGAAACTAAATTGTCTGAAAAATATAGATCTCAATATTAATACTATAGACTATAATATTATAGTGTAATTCATCAAACCTACTCGTCCTCCTCCTTTTTTTTTTTTTTTAATAATGCAGTTATTGGAAATCTAATATTTGAAATTTTTAAATAATTGAAATTTATTTGTATTATTAAAAGCGTGTCTTATGAACTTTTATTTTTTTTTCAAATTAGAACCACTCTTTTTATTGTAAATTGTTAATATGGTGATTTTTTTGAAAATTGTTATATATTAATAAGAAATTACAATTAAGTATTTCAATTAATATTTTATACACTTAACTTGTTTCAAAAACATTTTTTCTTACCAATTTACAATAAAAAACGATAGTTCTTGTGATAACAAAGAATTTGTATCGACATAGAGCACTCATGTTTACATACATTTATTACTATTGGAAAAAAATAATGGGGAGTATGCTTGTATGTTCACTATGTATACATGTGTATAGTACCAGAGTTGAGAGAAATTGGTAACCGAGTTGGACACAGACATATGATGTCAGTTTAACTCTCACCTTAATGTAACCTGTGGTTGTTTGCACTAAACGATGCGTACATGTGAAATCACATTCCCGTCCCTTTACAGCTGCAGCACAGACCTAGTTCACGGTTTTACTTAAAAGCCCCCCCCCCTTCCGCGTACTACAGACAGCTACAGAACGTCGTTCGAGTTTACTTTATAAGTTGAATTCATACCATATAAAGAAAAATATTAACCAAAACTCTAATCACACATTAATCATTATACTGCTACGGCTTTATAATAACTAAAATAAGGAAACAAAACTTTATGTATATATTATATATTAATGTGGTTTTTAAATTTATTTTTCTCTCAGTTGAGCTTGTATTGCAATAAAGCACAAAGTGTATACTTTGTATAGTACTTATTTGCGTCACATATTTTCAACCAGAAAACATTTTAATCTTATGTACTGGTGTGTAAACGTGCAGTTGTAACCCACATGTTAAATTAAAAATAAAAGAAGAAAGAAAAAATGTAATGAAACACTTTTGATATTTCTTATTGAAAAGCAATATTTTGCCACGGGCCAAAGTAACCATCTTTCTACCCTACATTATATAATAAATCATTATACTGTGGATAATTTACTGTGAAAGCCATTGTAAAACAGATTTTATTTCTATTATCCTTAAATTAACTGTTTATTAATTATTAAACATTGTAAGTACCAAGCTTATTGTTTACGGTTATTAATACCGTGACACGGCGCACAACAAAATATATTATAATTATTATGGAAAAGATTTAATAATAACTAGTTTTCATACATAAGGTTTTATTAAATTTTTCTAAGAAAACGAAACAATGATGGCTACTAGATAATCATAAAAATTCCATGAAGATACACTTTATTTTTCATGCAGTTATAATTTTATATGGAAAATTTATCATGGTATCAATATTACATAATATAGTTAGTTAGGTACCTATAATATAATCGTTTATATTCTATATAATATTTATATACCGCAACCCAAAGAATCGTCACATTTGTGCTACGAATATATTATATTCTTCTATAACATGTAATTTACATACAATTTTCGTCCGATAAAAATTCAATAAAATTCTTATTTACATATTATATAGAGAATAATAATATAAAGTGTTATATGTGTTTATAATGAATATTATACTACTGAATATACCATGTAACCCATTGAATGTATGTGTGTGTTATATGTGCTTGAAAACAATTGTATATAGCATTAAATAATATACAGAGTGAAAAATTAAGTATTCAAATTTGTTTTAGGAAGCCGAACTTATTCTATTCGGCTCTGGCTTGATGATAAATACTATAATACCTACCCGGAGAGCAATCTACGTACGTACTTTGCAGGGCTAACGAGTGTACTATCGATGTCCTTATACTTCACGTGCGCACACGATTAGTCGACGAGAAGAGCTTTGCGCAAGCAACAACGATAAGTACAATAAAAGTGAGAGCAAAATAGAAAAAAAGGTTTATTATAATTTAAAGAGATAATAAATTATATTAAATTACGGTACGTCAAAAAAAAAAATCTCGTATAAAACAATTAGGTAGGTGTCTCTGTAAAAAATTCGTTAAAAAAATTAATTTTTAAAAACATAACTTTATATACGAGTATTATTATTTTTTTAAAATTATATAATAGCTATAATTAATTACACGAGTGTTTTAGGTACATATACAATTGTTATTGAGACGTAGCATTAAAAAAGTGTTCACAATTCGCAACTACACGTACATATTTTGTGAATATACCAAGATAACGATGCAAGCCTATCACGTTAGCCACAAATCTATGTGAAAAGATTTATACACATTTTAAAATTTATTTATAACATGACAAGATTTTGATTAATTTATCTATTATACGATATTAATGCACATATCACATCAAACACCAAGACTTGTTAACGGGTTGAAAGCTATCGTATGAATATTGCTAAAAGATCAATAATAATAAATGATATCTCGTGATAATGAAAGACGTGCATCATAAATCATTGGAGAATATAATAATATATAATATCAAAATGAATGATTGCAAATTGCAATAATAAAACAGTTAACAATGTATACATTTTCACACTTTTACTCTCGTCCACGGTAGTTATATACTCGTAGATATCTATCGTTATAACAATAATAATATTAATAAAATGCAATTTGTATTTCAAAGCATTATTTTCATTTTCTTTTTTTTCTTCAATTGGTTGAAACGAATCTCAATAAGCTACAAATGTGTTATTTAAATTTTAAATGTATAAACTCGTAGTTCTAATTATGAATTATTTTTTGGAAATTATTTTTTCACGCATTAATATTCTGTGATCTGGTTTTAAATTAATACAAGTCTCAAATTCATTTAACTCTCGGTTACATACAGGTTGCATATTATGTGAATTTTATTAATTCACCACAGGTCAACTTATTGTTTTTTTATAAAAATATCAATACGATATTCCTAGTAATTAACAGAGTATAATATTATGCTCCAGTCATATTTTATTACCAAAGTTACAGTCTATAGTAATTTATTATTTTTATCTTAAAATGATTTTATGATATATAGGTACCTTAGACCCAGAACAATATTATGATAGTGTTTTGTTTGTGATACATATTTTAATTAAATTTATTTCCCTAGTATAGACACGTACAAGGTATCGTATTATCTTCAAGAATCGAGAATGTACGAGTGCTAAGTGCTTGGAGATATCCCGAATGCGTTCCATTTTTAATTTTTACCTTTTTCATAGCCCAAGTATATCCTCGGTCCACAGCTATAGAAGTCTATTTAATATAAAATAATAAAAACC